TACAAAGAGGCATGAGATGCCACTGCATGGTATTATGGAGGTTGAAATCTTTGATGTGTGGGAAATTGATTTTATGGGTCCATTTCCCTCGTCCAGTGGTTGTAAGTACATTTTGGTGGCCGTTGAATATGTGTCCAAGTGGGTGAAATGCACTGCTCTTCCTACCAATGATGCCAAGGTTGTGGTCAACTTTGTGAAAAAGCATATCCTTACAAGGTTTGGCACCCCGAGAGTGATGATAAGTGATGGGGGCACTCATTTCTAAAACAAGCTATTGGACAATGTCTTAGCGAAATACGGGGTCAAACATAAGGTTTCAACCTCTTACCATCCTTAGACTAGTGGACAACTTGAAGTGTCAAATAGAGAGATAAAGCAGTTTCTAGAGAAGACGGTTAGTGCAAGTAGGAAAGATTGGGCTGCAAAGCTTGATGATGCTCTATGGGCATACCGGTCTGCCTACAAAACTCCAATCGGAACCTCCCCATACAAGTTGGTTTATGGGAAGGCATGCTATTTACCGTGGAACTTGAGCGCAAGGCCTATTGGGCGATAAAGAAGCTGAACTTTGATGCAGAGTTAGCGGGTAGAAAGCGATTGATGCAATTGAACGAGCTTGATGAGTTTAGCTTGCACGCGTATGAGAATGCCAAGTTATATAACGAAAAGACCAAGCGTTGGCATGATAAGCATATCCAACATTGTGAGTACGAACCTGGTCAATTGGTTCTCTTGTTCAATTCAAGGCTGAGACTCTTTTCGGGGAAGCTCAAATCGAGATGGTCGGGCTCGTTTGAGGTAGTGAGAGTCACTCCACATGGTGCAATTGAGCTGCGCATGTTAGGTGGCGAGAGAACGTTCTTAGTGAACGGACAAAAAGTAAAGCAATATTATGGAAGTGACTTTGATCGTCAGAAGTCGAAGGTGTTACTTGCCAATGATTAGACGAGATTATGTGTCGTGCCGCGACGTTAAATCAAGCGCTTGTTGGGAGGCAACCCAGCTTTACTGCTTTCTTTTAGTTTTAATTTTTCTTCTTATTGTGGTATTTTTGTAGTATGGTTTTATTTTGTAGGATTTTGAGCATAGGGAGCAACGCCAGAGGAAGTGTGCAAAAGCGAGCTAGTGGTGAGAACTAAGTGTGGGGTGCCCACACAAAGGACCATGACTGGGGAAGTCTGAGTACCTCGTGAGCCGTGATTGCTTCGTCCTTGGCCTTTCAGGGAGTTTCTTATCCACCATCGTTATTTTTTTATTTTATTTATGCATTGGGGACACTGCACTCTTTTAAGTGTGGGGTGTGGGAGAAGTGCTCTAGATAATTAGTAGTAGTGTGTTACCTTCTTATTGTTATTGAGGTTGTGCAGTATAGCTCCTAAGAAAAATCGGAATAAAAAGTAGAAAAATTTGACTTTTCCCGACGATGGATTTCATTCGACAGGTTTCTTGAGGGATTTAAGTTAAAAGAAGAAAAAGACAAAAAGATTTTCTTTTGTTAGGTAGTGTAATAATTCTCCCTTGGTTTTTCTTTGTACCGTGGTTCTTTTCCAAGGGTTTTGTTTGAACCGGGTGTAGTTAGTTGTATTTTTTTTAGGAGTAGGAGCCATTGTGCTGTGATCGGAATTGAAGCAATAGTGAGTACTTTGGTTGTGACGCTTAGGCTCAGGTTTTGACTCTTGTATAAGAACCTTAAATTGTATGATCTTAACTTTGCTTAACTGCTTTGACTAGAGTGTCTAGATGAGTCCAATCCTGAGTGAGTTATGTGCCACATGTGTGTGAGGTTTGTGTGTCATTCTATGCGTTGTATTTGATATCTAGAACTTGCCCCGTGTGTTTTCAAAGTGAAATAGTAGCTTTGTTCACTCTTGGAAGTGATATAGGCGCGTTTCTTTGTTCAGCCAGATATATATATTTTACCTGTCTAATTGTTATGTATCGTAGTTAAACCTTTGAGCCTGTAATCCTATTTTTTGGCAACCACATTACAAGCCTTACCCATTTGTTTGAATTAACCATCTATTTGAACCTTTTCACCTCTCATGAGCACTTGAACTGTAATGAACTTTGTAAAAGTTAAAGTGTGGGGTGCTGGTTTGGCTTTTGAGTGGAACCAATGAAATAAGGAGAAAGGTGCACTGTTTTGAAAAAGTAAGAGTCACTTGAATTGAAAAAAAAGAAAAAAAAAGAGTAGTTGTATTGTGTAAAAAATATTCTTCGATAGTGGTGACTCTTGATGTAATTGTGCTCAAAGAAGTATGGAGTTAATTTACATTGATGTGAAGGTGGAGCTATGGTTTGATATAAGTGTGGGATTTTAAATGTTAAAGTGTATGTATTAAAGTGCTTAGGGAGGTGTAGTCACTCGTATATCTAAATGTATCCTACCCGTCCCGCAGCCTACATTACAACCAAATAAAGTCCTAATTGATCCTTCACTGAATGAGCTCGATTAGTAGAGTAGTACACTACGGGCAAGCCTATGGTTAATGTTTTATGTCATATGTATTTTTTCTGAGAGTGAGTGAATTCTTTCTATATTGAGTTTCTAATTGTTCTTGAATTTTATGTGTGTGGAGCTACACTCTTTTGTTATGTGAGAGCACTTGATTCATGAAGGAAATGTAATATCGTTGACCTCTATGTTAGAGTAAGTGAGCGGGTTGTGAAAAATGCGTGGTGCTTTTGAGTCAAATCTCGAGGTGAGGATGTTACACTATTGTGCTTAGTCTATTTTAAATATTCTTGGTATGATGAGTTATGATAGTTGTTTAAAAATATCGTGTTGTTGTAAAGTGTAGAAACTTGCTCTAGGACGAGCAAGAGTTTAAGCGTGGGGTGTTGATAAACGGCCAAAAATGCATATTTTTCGGTGTACTTTCATCTCATAACTTGTGTGGTTACGGTAGGTTACATGAGTTTTTATAATGAATTATGCTCATTACGTGCATTCTTATGTGTAGGAGCAAGTTGGACGAAATGTGAGCAAAAGAAGTTGATTCGGGACCAAAAGACAAAAGAAGGACTTTGCTCGTTCACTCTCGTGTGCACACGAGAGAGTGAACGAGCTATTGAGGAAAAGCTTGAAAAAAAAACAGCGAAGTATAGCAAAAAGGCATGGAAGTGCACGAGAGACCTAGAAAAGAAAGAAAAAGAGAAGAACTTTGCTCGATCACTCTCGCGTGCGCACGAGAGAGTGAAGGAGCTAACCTAAAAAGGCTATTTCGAAGTGGGCTTGTATTATTTCATCCCATGCTAACCCTATCCCATATAAAGAGTCTTTAAACTCACTTTTGTGAAGGGAGGACGTGACTTGTGGGGGGAAAACGTGACTTTTGAAGGGGAGAAGACGTTGGGAACATTCTTGGAGGAGAAAATCATCGAGTTCTTCATTCCTTCATCTTTTCTTTGTAATTTGTTTATGCAAAATACTTGGAAAATTATTGCTACGAACATGAGTGGCTAAGCATTTTAGTTTCTAGGGTTGTGGTTGACATGATTGTTATTAACGTTTATTAATTACATCTCTGTTAATTTGGATTATCATCTTCTGGTTGTTTCTTTGATTCTAGTTTTAACTTGTGAATTGTTGTAGCGACCAATTCACCCTACTATCTTAACTATGCTTGGAAAAACCATGTTTAGATTAGAGTAGAATTAAAGAGAGATTATTTCTGAACCCGTGGCTCGGGGAAAGATTTCGCGGTTAGGATAGGAATATGCCTAACAATCTTGCTCAATTGAATACCATATTATATTCGTTCATGATAGACTCAATACCATATGAATATAGGATTGATATGTTGTGGACATGCGAGTAGTATGGGAACATGCTATTCATATAAACGATCCGGTTAATCAGCAACCGTAGATAATCTAGATTAACGATTGTGATTAGTGAACTTAATAGAATTGATAAACCAACCACAACCTTGGAATCTTCATCTCCTCTGAATTAAAACCTCAGCATACACGTTTGCATTCTAGATAAATTAGTTGTTACTTGTTAAATTTCCGCAATAGTAGATTAATAGAAAAATATCACTCTTGATTACCTTGGATAATTAATTGATTTTTGTTTGCTTAATTAGCGATTGATCTAAGTCTCTGTGGGTTCGACATCCATTTTCGAGTTACTTTATTACTTGACGACCACCTATACTTGCGTGTGTGTTTGATCGCAACAATCACCAGGAGGACAGTGTTATAAGGCGAAAACCCGAAGGGATGTATGTGAAAGTAACCCTTTTTATTAAGTAAATTAAGATAACCACATCACTTTCCGGGCAAAAATTCCCGAAAAGAAGAAAAGATGTTCGTACAATAATAGTTCAATGGCTAAAATATCACAATTTCTATTGTAATATTTAGAGTTGAACCTCATCAAATGTTTTTTTTCTCAAACCTCATTAGATGTTATCCTTCTGTTTTATAACATTGAAAACGAAGTTCTCTTTTTCTTACAAGAGAAGGAAAATATTTAGATTACTAGTTCGGACCATGGAAACAGCCTCTTGCAGAAATACAAGGTAAGACTACATACAATAAATCATTTTGGTCCGATCCTTTTTCGCATATAACGGGAGCTTAATGCACTGAGCTACCCTCTAGAAAAGGAAAACTTGCAACTAAACAACAACGATCAAGTTTTCTTATTTTATTTTCTCACAAATAAGGCAGACTTAGTGACTACTCCCTCCATCTTAATTTATGTGAAGCTGTTTAACTGATACAAAATTTAATAAAGATTGAATTTTTTAAAGTTATAGTTTAAAGCAAGCCGTAAATATTTTTACACCTATAAACATCTCATTAAGTTAAAAATTAATCTAAATTAAATTATTTAAATATAAAAAATATCGTTATACTAAAATTTAAAAATTAAAAATCAATATTAATGAGTTTGGACTTTGGAAGATGTGTGGTCCATATAATTTGGTTAAATTAAGAAAAGGCATTTTAGTTTCCCAAAACCAAAACCATACATCCCTTTTTGTCGGTCCACATATATATTACCCAACATTTCCATACATTTGAAATCTTTGTCACACACACTATCAAACACCTTGCTCTACGTCATTTTCCGGCGACGATCCCATTTTCCGGCGAAACCCGGCTGTAGGGAACAGAAACATCCCGGTTCCCTTTGCCCTTTGGATCACTCGCCTTCGCAAAATCATGAATCCCGAATAGTAAATTCTTCTATCTTTTTTTCTCTTTGAATTACATTTCTAGGGTTTGTTTTATTATAAATTTTTTATCTTTCTTGTATAATGCTATTGAAGGCTTGAATTATGCTTGGGTTGTGGTAGTTTTATTGTCGAATTTGCTTATTATTCAATTGAATTTTGTATTTAATGTTTTGCCCTTCAGATTCATGAAATTTAGTAAATTACTTTTTTATAGGTTTAAAATTGATCATTTACTTTGATTGTTTCAACTTGATGATTTACGAGATTGGTTGGTACCGTTTTAGTTTTAACTTTTTGCATAATATCCCCCAATCAATCTGGAAAAGGGGAAGAATATAAGCGCTATCTGTCTATTGGTTTACCTGGCACTCGGCACTCGTGCTTGTTGGCTGTAGTAGGCTGCCCTATGGATTAGTCTAGCTACACACAAGTTGATCGGACATAACCATAATCAATTGACCCAGACACAACCATCGGTGCACTAAGCTCCTGCTATGCTCGGGATTAAGGAAATGGTCGGACAAAATTACGTCTTTTGTACGCAGCTTTACATACGTAGTCTTACTTTGCATTTCTGCAAGAGGGTGTTTTGGTGGCTTGAACCCATGACCCCATGGTCACACCAACCACCACAACTTTTTACCCTTGTGCCAAGGCTCCTCTTCGGCTCACAACCATAATAAGAAAATAAGAATTAGCTTGATCACTTTGGACTCAGTCGAGGTGCCCGTTGAGAACTTTCACTCTATTTGATTCCTAAGGATGCATGAATTTATCAGTACAACAACAATAAATCCAGTTTGATCCCATAAATGGGGTTTGGGGAGGGTAATGTGTACGCAAACCTTACCCCTAGCTCATAGAGATAGAGAGGCTGTTTCCGATAGACCCTCGGCTCAAGGATGCAGGATTTTATCAGTGTTTCACTTATTTCTTGCTGATCGCTAGTTTGCACTTTGACCTCAAAATGCCAGAAGTTTTATTGCAAGGGAGCTGCGGGTTATTTTTTTACAGTTGCGAGTTGCCTTAATTACAATCTATCTGTCTATAAGTTCATCGTCCTTTTCAGCTCAAGTGGAACTTAATGCTGTTGCATTTTATGCTTTCTGCAGTGACTACTTGTTCAAACTTTTGTTAATCGGAGATTCAGGTGTTGGAAAGTCATGTCTTCTCCTGAGATTTGCTGTAAGTATTTCATCGCACTTAATTTTTTCGTACTTTTAGTTACTCTTGCTTATGAGCTGAATGTTACTTACCTTATTCCATTAATGGCTGATATAAGCAGTAAAACTAGGAAAGCGTGCAGATTGATTTGTGTGGTAGTGTATGTAGCAGCAGACCGAAGTAGCTCCATGTTGCTCTTAATATACTCTTTATCCTATCTAAGCAGTTTTATCATGCAATTCTGGCAGATCTAATTAGTGGTGATGGTCGTTGGCTCATTGCTCAATTAGGTTAAGTGCATACTTGTTCTTGACTATCCCCTTTATTGTGACAGTTTCTTTCTTTTGCTTTTATTTAATGTCAAGGACTGACTTGTCAAGTGCATTTACTTAAGCTCTAAGTATTGAGAATAAGAACTTGCATGTAATGAAGGTTCGCCTCTGCAGTGTATCTAAATATAAATTGTAAGATCAGTTCGTTTTGATAGTTTTGGCAGACATGGTAACGTTTTATGATGTTTAGCATGATGGGCACTGAATTTAAATGTTCTAATATTTTCTTGCTTTGTGCCTTAAGGAACTTTGTTATATTTCCACATCTTGATGTTTCCTAGGTTGATTTACTGATTCCTTATCTTCTGATGCAGGATGATTCTTATTTGGACAGCTACATCAGCACAATTGGTGTTGACTTTGTAAGCCAAAATTCATAGTGGAATTACATACACAACATACTTACAGTCAGTGATGCTCCTATTTTACTTTGCAGAAAATACGCACAGTGGAGCAAGATGGGAAGACTATTAAACTTCAAATTGTATGATTCTTCTCGTCTTCTTTCGTTTTGGTTTGAGGTTTGGCATTATTTTGTCCCAGGCATTTGCTTTTGGAATTTTAGAATTTTTTTTTAAAAATTTGAACAACTGTTAATACTTATGTTTTAGGATTCCGTGTAGTGTGTAGTTTGCCATGAATTGATTGAACTTTACTTACAATTTTAGTTAAGATTCTGTCATACAGAGATCAGATGTTCTAGGATTGAGCTATATTCTTTTACAAGTGTACATGATCTGCATTTATGTGCTTGCTTTTGTTCCTGTCATTATGCATTTTCAAAGTGAATTTAACGCCCTTGTTTGTGTTACATTTGCCAGTGGGACACTGCTGGACAAGAACGTTTCAGGACAATTACAAGTAGTTACTACCGTGGAGCACATGGCATTATAGTATGTTTCCCTGACCCCTTTTAAAGCAATCAATCATTTGATTTTCAATTTTTTCGCTTGGTAAATTCTGTTTTCCTCAAACCACTTTTTTACATATTCTGGCAGATAACTTATGATATAACTGATCAAGAAAGCTTCAACAATGTTAAGCAATGGTTGAGTGAAATTGATCGCTACGCAAGCGAAAACGTAAACAAGCTTCTGGTTGGAAATAAGTGTGACCTAACTGACAACCGAGCTGTGTCATATGATACAGCAAAGGTAGTGGTTTTTCTTCTTTTCGTTCTTTTGTGTTTTTAGTGTAGTGATTCTCGATTGACCGGAATAGTTCTTGATTCACATACAAGGCGTTTGCTGATGAAATCGGCATCCCGTTTATGGAGACTAGTGCGAAGAGTGCCACTAATGTTGAGCAAGCGTTCATGGCAATGGCAGCTGAAATAAAGAATAGGTATTTTTAATTTGTTAGTCTGGTTTTGATGCAGTTAAGAGTCTGTGGAATAGCATCTCTTCATTCTGTGAAGCTGAATTTAGTTGATATCACCATCTCCTTATTGTTTACTTTGAACATATATACAAAAATACTATTTTTGTTAGATATGTTTTTGGTTGATGCCTTTTATTACTTAATACAGGATGGCGAGCCAGCCGGCATCAAACAATGCAAGGCCACCCACCGTGCAGATACGAGGACAACCTGTTAACCAGAAGAGTGGCTGCTGTTCTACTTAGTTGTTGGATCGGCTAGCTAGATTTGCTTCCAGAGCGACCTTTCCGATTGTGATGCTCTGCCAGTTCCATTCTTCGTATCTACCAGTATTGGCCTGTGCAAATCAAAAGAATTGCTATTTTAAGGACTCTTTCTCCCCTTTTGATATGTTCACTTCACTGGGTTTCCTGGTCAAATTGCAGTGTTTGCAATTCAGTTTCGGCAATATATATCAGAAGTTGGGCTACTAGATGGGGATGTAATGCTGTTGTACCTACTATCATGTGCTTCAAATAAAATGCTCTGTGATAATACAAGAACAACATATCCGGTATAATTTCACACTTTGGGGTCTGGGGAAGGTGATGTGTATGTAGACCTAGACCTTACCCCTACCTTGTGGAGGTAGAGTGATATTTTCGGTAGACCATCGGCTCAAGAAAAGCAATTCTAGCAGGTTTGAAAAAGAAAAACAATAGTCAAGAAGCCATGTTAAAAATAATGATAATATTGCCACGAGGAAAACAACAGGTAGTAATAAAAATTGAAGGCTAAAATAATACAAGAATGATAATAATACTACACATAATATGGAAAACATATACAGTATCCAAGACCATTTGTTAACCTTTTACCCTAATTATCGGCCTATGCATTCTCCTTTTTAGGGTCATGTCCTCAATAAGTTGGAGATGTGCCATGTCCCGTTGAATCACTTCTCCCCAATACTTGTTTGGCTTATCTCTACCTCTCTTTAGACCCACAATACGCAAAATAAAGGAGGAACAATCACGACGAAGCAATGACTATTGTTCATTAGGTCGTTTCTGATGGGCCCACAAAATTTTAGGTGATACGGAGCCCGTCTCCCGAATTCATGAAGATGGCGTGAACATTAGCACACGAAAAATAGGAAATCGTCCTAAATTCCTGTTGTATGGCCCCTAAACACAAAAAATGAGGAACGAACATTGCAAAGCCATGACAATTATTCATTAGGTCGTTTCTGGTGAGTCCACGAAATTCTAGGCGAATCCGAGCCGGTCGTCTGAATTCATGAAAATAACATGGACATTAGCATACGAAAAATTGAAAGTTGACCTAAATTCCTGCTTTATAGCCCTAAAACGCCAAAAAAATGAGGGACAACAATGGTGAAGTAATGACTATTTTTCATTAAGTCGTTTCAGATGGGCCCACAAAATTTTAGGCGATTTAGAGCCCGTCGCCCGAATTCATGAAGAGGTGTGGACATTAGCACATGAAAAATTGGAAATCGTCGTGAATTTTTTGTTTTATGGCATCTAAACTCAAAAAGGAAGAATAATCATGACGAAATAATAACTATTGTTAATTAGGTCGTTTCTGATGGTTATTTTGGGCGATTTGGAGCCCGCCGCCAAAATTCATGAAGATAGCGTGGATATTAGCACACAAAAAATTGAAAATAGTCATGAATTCTTGTTTTATGGCCCTAAAATGTCACAAAACGAGGAACATTCATGGCAAAGCAATGATTACTTTTCATTAGGCCGTTTCTGATGGGCCCAATAAATTTTAGGTGATTCGGAGTCCGTCGTCCGAATTCACAAAGATGGAGTGGATATTTGCACAAAACTCGAAAATCATCCCAAATTCCTGTTTATTGCTCTAAAACGCAAAAAAGGAAGGAACAATCATGGCAAAGCAATGACTTTTGTTCATTAGGTCATGAATTCGTATTTTATGGCCTATAACGCCAAAAAATGAGGAACGATCATGGCGAAATAATGAATATTGTTCATTAGTTCGTTTCTGATTGGCCCACAAAATTTAGGCGATTCAGCGCCCCTCGCCCGAATTCATGAAGATTTTGTTGACATTAACAAATGAAAAATTAAAAATCATCATGAATTTCTTTTATGGCCCTAAATGCCAAAAAACGAGGAACAATCATAAAGAAACGATGACTATTATTCTTTAGGTTGTTTATGATGGACCCACAAAATTTTGGGCGATTCGATGCTCGTCATCAAATTCATAAATATGGCGTGGACATTAACACACGAAACTTGAAAATCGTCCTGAATTCCTGTTTTATGGTCCTAAAGCTCAAAAAAAAGGAACAATTATGGACAAGAAATTACTATTGTTCTTAGGTTATTTTAGATGGGCCTACAAAATTTAGGTGATTCGAAACCCGTCGCCCAAATTCATGAAGATGGCGTGAACATTAGCACACAAAAAATTAAAAATCATCCTGAATTCAGGTTTTCTGGCCCTTAAACGCAAAAAAATGAGGAACGTTCATGGCGAAGCAATGACTATTATTCATTAAATCGTTTCTGACGGGCCTACAAAATTTCAAGCGATTCATAACCAGTTGAACGAATTCACGAAGAGGGCTTAGACATTAGAACACGAAAATTCGAAAATCATCATGAGTTCATGTCGTTTGACCCTAAAGTGCCAAAAAATGAGGAACAGTCATTGCGAAAATGACTATTGCTCATTAGGTAATTTATGATGGACCCACAAAATTTTAAGCGATTTGGAGCCATTGCCCGAGTTCATGAAGATGCCATGGACATTAGCACATGAAAAATTGAAAGTCATCCTAAGTTATTGTTTTACGACCCTAAAATGCCGAAAATGAGAAACAGTCATGGTGAAACAATGACTATTGTTCATTAGGTCGTTTCTGATGGCCCAAAAAATTTTAGGCGATTCGAGCCCGTCGCTTGAATTCATGAAGATTGCATGGACTAATGCACACACAAAATTAGAAATCGTCTAGAATCCCTATTTATGGCCCTAAAACGCAAAAAATGAGGAACACTTGTGAAGAATCAATGATTATTATTCATTATATAGAGACACTGTTATAACTAGACAAGATTTAAAAATTATCTACAGAATCTTAGCATCATTTTATTGAGTAACAAATGAGGCAGCAAAAATATTATATTAGTAGCAGTTTCCATCGTGTAGTCAATCAAATCCCAACAAATCTCCTAATTTATCTCCTAATTAAACTCCCCAATAATAACCTTCTATGCATGATCTCCGTCTTTTCAAACAAAACTAGACATACCATCAAAGGAAGACACAAAATAATCTGCACTATTGAAGGCATTTACTTGAACTTCCAATTAAGTGAATTAGTATATTATGGGTATATTGTAGGTTTGTGATTGTTAATTTAGTATGCGTAGAAAATTTACACGACATAATAATGGTATATCATAAATTAGTATTTCTTTAGTTATGTATGAATATATATAATTATATTATAACATGTATTAAGGGTATATTGTAGATTTTTATTTTTTAGTTAAGTGTGTAATAATTATATACACATTATAATAATGGTATAACGTACATCGCATTTGTTTATTTATGAGCGCATACATAATTATATACATGGTATAATAAAGATATTCATAGTATAATAAGAATATACATGGTATAATAAAGATTAAGAAATTAGGTCAAGAATTTCAAAAAATGGAGAATGTCAGTAGCAAGAGAAATAGGATTTAGGGTGAATTCGAAGGGAATATCAGATATACTTATTAAATCAATTGTATACTCAAAGTCAGTATTTTGATCGAGTAACTATCATTTTGGTTAAAATTATCTAATAATCGATTATAAATAGTAAGAAATAAGAACTAAAATACAAACCAAACCTGCATGTTGGTCATCTAGCCATCACTATTGTCAAGCACTTTTCTAATATTTATTAATAGAGAAGCGGAAATGTATTAATGAGGATGCAAGAGAAATGGATATGCATTTATTAGAATATAAACTAATTCCTTAATTAGTGGTCTTTCATTAACCGTAAGTACTATCACAATATGCCATAAGTCTAGATGAATCTATCAATTTTGAAAAAACCCAAAGGCTGTGCTATTTATTTAAATAGTTTTATATATTTGCCCCACAGTGTTAAAATCTCTTACATCATTTCTTATGGGCCCGAATTCATGGAAATGGCATGGACTAAGCACACGAAAAATTAGAAATCGTCCTGAACTCCTGATTGATGGCCCTAATATAACAAAAAATGAGGAATGGTCATGGCAAAGCGATGGCTATTTTTTATTGGAATTTTTACCTCCTATAGCAAAGGTTAACACCTTATTTATTTTAAATAAATACCATTTAAAAAATTATATTCTATAGATATCTTTTACTGTTTATAGCAAAATATCTAATTTTGGTATCTCCTACCCCTAAGCCACTAAATACGCTATTAAGTTACACTATTTACTTTCTCTCTCTAATTTGATACATGTCATTCTCTCTTCCAAATAATACCGGATTCATTGACCCAAAAGCACCTCTCTTCCGCGCCGGAGGCCAATATTTTGATCCTTTGCTTCAGTTTCACCGCCTCCTTTCTTGTATTCACGCAGTTATTAATCTTTTTCACCTCAATTCCAGAAAGAAACAACATATAAAACTGTAGCAGAATCGCTGTGTATCCACACATCTGCCACGCCCTGCCAATATTTTGGCATACAGATAAACCCCAAGTAGGATAGTTTTTTTTGGACTTTACTCACTCCTCTTTGTCACTAGTATTATCGTTATATGCCATACCATACTTATCATAAACAATCAAAGCTAAGGGCTTACAAAAGCTACGATGGTACTGCCAGATGTGTCAGAAGCAATGTACAGAATGCGCGGGAACAATGAGATTCAGGGTTTTTGTTCGACGGTGGATTCGCCGGAAATTAGGGTTTGTTATTGAACAAAGACGACGGATTTTGGGGCTGAGCAACTTGATTTTCTGTTAATATATTTCAATATATTTTCAACATATCACGCTGTATTTTTATGTATTTCATTGTATTCATTGTCTTTTTTTCCATTGTAATTCAATGTATCTCGTTGTATTCCATGTATTTCATTGTATTCACTGTCTTTTTTCTCATTGTATTTCAATGTATCCCGCTATATTCTATGTATTTCGTTGTATTCACTGTCTCGCTATATGCCATGAATGCACTCATATGTTTTTTTAATTAATATAATTTATGTATTCAGATGTATTATATAATTTCTCTGAAGATTGCTATATTTTTGGGATATTTTTTGGTTGAGAATCTTTTTTTAAACTGAAAATACAAAATTTGTGTGTTATAATTGAGTTTGTTGAGTTATATTAGGAGTCTATTATGTTAATTGATTCACTTTCCGTTTTAAAAATAGTGTAATCCCCTATTTCACGCCGTGAATACAGTCGAATACAATAATCTGTCCAGCTGTAATCCCATGTTTCACTCCATGAATAGAGTCGAATACACTAGAATACAACAACTGATTAGCTAGAATACAACAACTGATTA